ACCTTTGGCTCTTGAGTGGTAGGTTGGGAGACTTGTTTCGGGGTCCCTTGTTTTTTAGCTTTCGCTGTCAAACTTGGGACCCCTGGACCATAATATTGATTATGGCCCATGTTGTCTTCTTCAACGAAGACATAAGGGGGAGGATTTGGTGGTTTTTCTTCATATTCCACCTTGACCTCAATAGCAGAGCTCCTCCCCGGGCTCTGCAGGTCCTCCGATCCTTCTTCCTTCTTGATCACTGGCGATCCGGTTTCCAGTGTCTTGGTTGTCCCTTGGTCTATCTTGACCGATGTCTTTTCTTCTTCGTGGGACTCACGGTGAAATCCCGCGTCTCCCGAAGATCCGGGCACGCGCACCATTGTGGTGGAGTGGATTCTCAAACAACGTAGGAGATCCACAAACACACACAGCGCCGGACTGCCGACTTACGGAGGGGGTACCCCGATACCGTGTCGTATTGGCCTTGGGTCTCACCTTGTGTACCCGTCGGCTTGGCTGGTCTTGCTCCTCGGTTGACGTAGAAGACTTAAACTTGGTCTTTGTATAAGACTTGGACTTGGTGGTCCCCGAGTGGATATACTTCACTTGGGACCGGGTTTCTTGGGCTCAATCGACTTAGTCGAGAGCGATGCACCTGGTACTATGTACCCCTTTGGTGGCTGACTGTTCTTGGTCCTTGGACCCCTTTGTGTTCTTCCCCGTAGGGAAACCGCTTCCTGTAGCGGGTCGTAGAGTGTTGACACTTACTTGACACCTCAGGCCAACTATCCTGAGGTTCAACTTGCGTTGCTTGAGCCGTCTAACACCTGCTGGACGTCGGGGGGCCAAAGGGTATCCCGCCCGGAAGAGGTGTAGCGACGGAGAAGCTTAGGAGGGGCGCTTAAAGCTGCCACGTGTAATGCAAATTCGAGTGTGTTTATTTATCTTATTCTCTGTATGCTTTTCTTGCCTAACCCTAACCCTTTGATCTGGAAAGTGCCACGTGCCGACTCTTGGAGGAAGGACTGGCTCCTTGGTACCCTGTACTTTCTGTAATCTTCGATATTCTGTGTACCGGTTCTGCACCCTCGGACATTGGGCCCTGGTACCCCTGGGCCTCGGTACCCTGGGCCCCGGCACCCTGGTACCCCTAGGCCCCGGTACCCCTGGGCCCCGGCACCCTGGTACCCCTAGGCCCCGGTACCCTGGTACCCTTAGGCCCCTGGGCCCCAGTACCCTGGTACCCTTAGGCCCCTGGGCCCCGGCACCCTGGTACCCCTAGGCCCCGTACCCTGGCACCCCTAGGCCCCTGGGCCCTAGTATCCTGGTACCCCTGGGCCCCTGTTACCTGGGGTCCGCATGTTGCCTGGAGTCCACATGCTACCTGGGGTCCACCTGTCACCTGGGTCCACCTGTTGTCTGGGTCAACCTGTTGCCTGGGGTCCACCGGTCACCTGGGTCCACCTGTTGTCTGGGACCCACCTGTTACCTGGGGTCAACTTAAGCTGTCCTAGCAGCACTGGTCCTTTGGTCTGTAGTGTAGGGCATCCTAGTATCTTCTCCGAACTCGGGACCTTGGACCAGTTCGGGACCCTGGTCACTCCCTGTCACTCATTCAAGAGAGTGACCGAGATCTTTCCCGCCAGTTATTATAATAACTACGAAGGGCCCCCCATTTCTCTGGCACTTCTCCACATATGCATCGCACAAATCCAATGTTTGTCAGCGTTGCATGTAGAAGCTGATGCCACAGACGTCCAACCTGCTTTAAGCCATACAGACTTCTCTCCAAACAAAGTGATAAATTCTTGGCGGTATCCACGCCATAAGCGGAAAGCTCCTCCGACGTAAACGTCATGCCTTCAGGAATATAAAGATGTATATTCTCTCCATCTTCTTAAACAGCGCGCACGTAAGCACTTGGTACGTCGAAATGCCTGGCTGGTGTACGCCGAACCACGCAATAGCCAATATAGCCTTGGCACTTGTCATGTGTAACACCGCGGCAAAAGTCAGCAAAAAATTCACACCGAGCACTTGTTAAGTACCACACGCAACAAGTCTTGCATTGTAACGTTCAATTTCCCCGTCACTCGTGCGTTTCTTCTTGTACACCCACTTAGTATGCAAACGTGGCACTTTGGGTTCGGCTCTGACTCTCCATGTATGATTCACACGCACGGCTGTTAGCTCTTCATTATTTGCGCGCTTCCATAAAATCTTGTCGGAAGTGCGCATCGCCTCGCGATTGTTTTTTCGGAACAGGCAAATGCGCAAATTCGGCTTAAAAAACTTGCGAGACGGCAGCAACTACTGCGTTCACCACATCACAGGTTTTGGCGAGTGGTCCATCTAAATGGCAGTTGTGACTGCGTTCACAAGCTCGCGCGATGGCTTCAATATAATTGAATTAGATAAGTCCGCCTCCAATTTTTTGCAAAGACTTTTTCGACGTACGCTTGGACCGTCATAGTTCGTTCTTGATCGGTTCATCACGCTTTTCATCCGTGCACACGGAAGTTTGACTTCCCAGCTGTCCACTTGGAGTCGTCGCAGTCACTTGACGATCTGCACTAGCGTGCTGATCTTGGCGCAGGCTCGCTAATTCTGCTAGTTCCGTTTTAATCTCGTTAATTATGAACTTCTCCAATTGTTTGTTTTCTTCATCAGTAAGCGATTGACTTGACGAACGTGGCGTGTAGGTAATGACAATGCGATAACGCGGAAGCCACACACGAAATCCTTTTGTCTCATCGCTCTTTTTCACAATTAATCCCTTTTCGGAGCGCTGCTTCAGCGAATTCTTTTTGAGATCACAAAATACTTCACATTGCGACCTAAACACGACAATATCCACGAGACTTGGCGATTTTCCAGTCAACATTTCGACTGGAGACGTCCGCTGTGGGTTGGAACGGGTTGGCATTCTGTCAAGAGCGTAAGCCGCATATTCGGCTGCATCACCCCAAAAAGTAAGTGGTAAATCACACAAAAAAATCATACAGCGAACCATATTCATCACCGTCCGGTGAATGCGCTCCGCCTTTCCAGTACCAGGCTAATTGCCAGCTTCCGTAATTTGACGCGCAACTCCAGTGTCACGACAAAATAAATCAACGTTCTTGTAATGGGGCAACCTATTACATGAGTAGTTATAGGATTAATACATAATTACATAAGTAGGCATAGGGCAGTATCATTAGCGGATTCTGCGCGTCATTTAATTATTGGTTTATTATTGGGGTGCTAGACCCAATAATTAGCCAATAATAAATTGACTTCCATATTGAGTGGACCCCATGAGCTAGGGAACATATTCGCACTTACTGCGAATTAAAACAAAACAAAATAAAACAGAGTTATAGTTACGAGTTAATGAAGAGCGCTTCCTCAACGCCCTTTTAGTGTAAGACGGTAACGGTTCCTTAGCCCGTTACACCTGGTAGCACTTCGTGGTCCTTCCAATGACCAGATTTGAGATGAACATGAACGAGTCTTCGGTGGCTCCAGCGATCTCGCTGGAACATTCTGATTTTCCACTTCTCACTTCGGTGGATTTTCAGGTACTACATCGCCTCGCGGCGGTACTATTGTGACGTCGCTGCTGAGCACAGCAACGTCCGCTGATCAACGTGCCGCCATCCAAGACTTTATGGTGCGCTAGCTCGCCGAATCGAATCGGCGAGTATTGACTCCCTCGCTCACTTCGCACCATGACGCTGTCATGATGAAGACGTCAACATACACCTGTGGCGGTCCGGATCGTCTCCCTCTTAATAGCTTATTTCGCGAGAATAATATTGCGACAGCGTCACGATTGATAGACGCTCCCACGGCCAACTATAATTTTCTGTTGTCTCGGCTTGTTGGCAAAGCCAAGGAATGGACTCTTTGGGAGCTCGTCGTAGATGTGTTGGCGTTCCCTACGCTGGACGATATCCAGCGTGGCTTTTGAGCCTCCTCAAGATGAATCTCGCTTACGTGCAGATTTCTTCTCACTCCGATAGGCGAAGCTGTCGATGCGTGACTACGTGCAGAAGACACGTTATCTTGCTTCGTGCATTATTACGCAGCCAATTGACATGGCTTCACAAGTCCATGTCTTTATTTTTGATATGCAAGAGGGCATGACGCGTTACTGTCTCACACGTGCTGAGCCAAAGCTCCTCGACCTACCAGCACCCTGATTTGCAGCCGCTCCTTGCTCCTGCACAAAATGTGCTCACCTTCCGTCTTTTCTGTCGCCTACAAACCAAAATATACAAAACAAAAGGTAATCCTGAAAAACGGCAGCTTCTTGATGTCTTGAGACCTGGTAGCAATTGATACACCGTTTTCCAACACCAAAGGCGGCAATGGCTTAGTTTTAGGCATAAATTGCGGCTTGGCGACTCGACTGCTGTTATTAGAGGACAATTAAAATTCGGCCAGAATGCCCGAATTAAAAAAAAACAAATTCTATAAAAATCGTAATTTGTATTTTGTAATTATAATTAATGGGGTGGATGATGGTTATCAAAGGTGGCTGATAAATAACGCTTCTTAACTAAATTTCTGGTTGAGAAGATCAGCCACGGCCCACACCCCTTTTTGTAACCTTACCTATTACCACACCTCTTATCGATAGTAGTTTGTTCTCTTTTAAAAGGCGGACATTGATAACAGCGTCTAATAGTCAAAAAGTATGGAATTCTAGTGTTAATAACTATTCTATTAATATTAATCATAAGCTATGCACAATTGTGTTGTGAACTTTCACGATAATCATACGGTTGCTAGATTATCGAGTGAGTATTCTAGCAACTGTATGATTATTGTTCGATGGTCGCTTTGACACGAAGACAATAAAAACAACATAATTTCTTGCCTAACAGGGTTGTGTGAAAAATTGCTGTTTGTCGAATACCCTTGACAATTACACTCATTGTGGTAAATATGTTGAGCCAATCTAAAGCACAAATTTGTAGAATTAATTCTGCACCAAAAATACCGACCATTACTCATCCCTCACCCTATAAGTCATGGCCACCACCGATGACAAATGCGACATGGACGTACTAACGTCCGTCCTTTCCGCCATGACTTTTCGTCATCATGACGACCACCTCGTGACCCAGCGCCCCGCTGCCACACTTAAGGAGATCCTCGAAAAGATCCGTTCTAATAAAGACCAGATCCGTGAACTGGATTTAAAGGAAATGGCAGCCAAAAAGCGCAAGTTGCGCTCGTCTGGTGGAGATCTGGTAGGTCGTGTCTTCCAGCTGAACCGTACAGTATTGCGTCTATTGCTGTCAGACCATGAGATTGGAGACGTGGGTGCTCAGTCCATGGGGAACATGCTCCGAGCGAACAACACTCTGCAACACCTAGACCTAAGAGGTAATGAAATCACGGCAGACGGGGCATGCGCACTTAGTGATGCACTGTATGGCCACGAAACATTGGAACATTTGGGTCTTTCCAGTAATCAATTGGGGGACGATGGTGCGAAAGCTGTAGCTAAAGTGTTGCCTTATAACATTTCATTGAAATATTTGGGTCTCGCGAATAATAATATTACTGAAGAAGGAGGGAAAGCTATACTCGATGCAGTGCTACAGAATCGGTCTTTGGTCATGGTGCAGCTGGTAAAAAATGATATTCCTCAGGATGTCCTAGACAGGATCCGAGCGGCTTTGGTCGTGAACAAACTCATGCAAAAGAAAGCTGAGCGAGATGAGAAAAAGGAGCTAATGATGGACGAGGAGAGAGAAAAGGAGACGGAAATGTTGAGAGAGCAAGCGCTGTCGAATCGGAAAGACGCCGGAAGCTCCAGTGGCAGCGATGAGGAGGACGAGTCGTTGTGGATTTAGAAGTGGCTTTGATTCAAGGGCTGCCACAAATTATGGCTGGTTGACCCAAGAATTATGTGTGTTCTTTTGTGGCTGTTTGCTCAAATTTTAGTACAAAACAACTTCATGACTAGTACTGGCTGGTAAATCGATGGGTGTAGTAAACTCTTGCTGCTTTACGAGGTATACAAATGTGACCTTTGGTTTTTTTGATCTGCGTGGGCACGGACGTGACAAGTCCGACAGCGGTATGTGAGCAGGAAAGCCTTATTGTCGCAAAAAAGATATGAAGGAGACGTTAAGGCAATTATATAGTTGGCGTTCCGAAGCGGGTGAAAGAAACAGTCCCAAATCAAGCAAACCTTGATGCATTTGCTTAACGCTGGCTTACGGTCTTGTGTGTCGACTAATTGACAACTAGATGTGCAGATAACAGAGAAAAACTGGAGCGTTCACAATGAGGAACAACAAATTGCAATTTAATGGTACAGTATGAGAAATGCAAATTCGGGCTGGTTAAGTCCAAACCATGGCATTCCAAAGCCAAGACGAAGATGAAAAGCCACATATTTATCGGCGCATTCAAGTTGAGCTCCCTGCTGACAAGCAAGTACGAGTTTAAAGGGCTCGATGTGTAAATGTATAACGACATATTGAGTCTTAAACCCCAACAGCAACACTTGAGGACGACAGGGCCGCAAAAACAAGGGATTGATGTACTACAAGCTGCGGATGGGCGCATTCATAAATTTTTTAACGAATTAATTAAAGCAAACGAAGCATCGAGGAGCTAACCAAGACAAAGAGGAGAAATAGTGTCAAGTAATGAAGAAGATTCGAAGCGGTGCTACAGGAATTCATGTGCAAGAATCCTATGGTGCCGAGTACAGAACTAAGGATACGACGGCTGCCACGATAATTGATTGATCGCTACTATCCTAAATAACTTATTACTTTTTGCTTCGGGGACAACTTCGGATTATTACAAGTTAAGAAACAGGTTTAACGTTTTACTGTACTGAACACGCTAACGACAACAGTGTCCTCAATGATTCGCTTCTCAAATGCAGTCAAGTGCAACAACGAAGCGGGCCCCTTCACAGTGGGTGAAATGTCTCCGAAAAGTTGGCCAAGGTAAAAAGAGGAGACCTTCTCCTCGCTGCACGCGCTTTGGGAGACATTGCAGCGTGCGGACCCGGAAGAGAAGCGGTCCGCAGGATATCTCCAGGGTATTGGAAGGATCATCGCCCAAGTGTCGGATCTCCCTGCTAAAAGGTCAGATTATATTGAAACTTTCACGATATTGCTAAGTCGCCGACTAATTCTCTGAGGTCGCCCCCGGAACCACGAAGAGAAATTTTTCCAGCGCTTGATAACCCAAAAAGATTCAGTCATGAGAAATCCTTGTACTTGGCCAACGGACCCACTTACGTGTCATTTGGGGGGTGCCCCTCTTGACGTCCAAAGTATTCAGGCAGTAGAACGAGGAAGCGAGAAAGAGAATGATTGCTTTACTGGAAAATGAATAAGGTCGTTAGCAAAAGTAGAACATGTGCCACATACTTCACCATGTCCAACCCAACAGCCTTCTTACTCGCTTCATCTTTTATGAGGTTACGAAAATGGGTTGGCGCTACTTACACGCGTTTGCTTTTTGCTGTGTGACCCTTCCTTTAAAGCCCGCTCAGCAGAATCGCTAGGCCCCAGCTTGCAGCTTGCTTGTTATAGGCCTACCGTCAGAAAGTGTGTTGCATCCCCAATACGATACTGCTGCATTTCTGCTATAGTGCAGGGCTAAGATTTTTGTCGTAATCCTGTGCCACTACACATATCGTGGGTTGTCAGGTCAAGAGTACGTGAATCATATGCTCTTCAGCTCTTATCATTCTTGAAATACTGGTCAAGTAAGCAACATCAACCTTTCTTTCGGTGTCGTCCAGCTAATTGCATCCGATGTAAGGCTTGACTGTAATACACCACTACACACGCTTTCGCTAAAAAGGCGATAACACATTTTTAGTTCGTTTTCAAATCTTGACACTGCTTTGTCTCGTTTTCGTATGCAGATCCTAATTTCGAGTGCGTACCAAATCGCGCGATATCTTCACCTCGTTATGATTCTTTAATTGATTCTCCTCGGACTGCACACACTAATGTCGCTCTGACTCAAATGACAAGAGTGGCCTCGGCGACAACATCTCCGTTTCCTCCTCTGAGTCCAACGAATCGTCCGAGTCCGAGTCCATCTGCAAATCCGGGATATATTTCTTCAGCTGCAATTTGAGCTTGCGTAGTCTTGCCGTCTCCTTCCTCACTTGTCGCACTTTCCTGTCTAGCCGTTGCTCATAATCTGACATTGGCGATGCAAGTAAATTGTGTTCTTTGTTAGTCGACTGAGAAGTCTTCTCCTGCTGACAATTGCCCCTCGAAGCTGTTGAAGTACCCAACGGTAACAAAAATTTAGGCGACGAAACACTAGGTGGCAATGGCCATGTAGCATCTTCTTCGTTTTCGTGTCTCTTGTCAATAACCAAGAGATTATTATCTTGCTCATATGCTGGTAGTTTCACCTCCACTGGGGGTCCACTGGACGTCCGATGGAGTCGTCTCTGTCGTCGTTCGGTCTCCTTTCTGAGTTGTTTGTCTACCAGCCTCTTAATGGCTTCTTCAGCTTCGTGGTTGGCTGCTCTAGCTGCTACCACATCTTGGTTCGGTTGCTTCCGTCTGGCTACTAAGGCGTTATCTTCTGGTGCAATCAGTAGCATGATGCGGATACGACCAGCAGTTTTCTTGCCCTTTTGCAACGGGAACCACTGCTTCAATCTCTCTCCAGGACACAGATTGGAAAGAGAGACAGCGCAAGCCCCGATCACAGGGCAAAAGAGTAAGTGCTGGCTCTTGACGCGAATGCTTACAATCTGACGCGCCAGCTCCACCCCCGGTCGTATCGGCACTTCAAACATCTCGTCCCAAATGGTTTTGAATGATGCCGTTGTGTTAAGCCCCTGCTGTTGTGTACGCGTGCGCCGAACCTCAAGGTGGCAGACCTCGTTTAGTTCCTCGTTGGATGGGGCAACATCGGTCGAGTCTTTTTTGCTCATGGTCTTATGACTGCCCTCTATCATGGTCGTGGATCCCACATATAACTTGCAATAGGCGCCTTGAGACGACGAGTGCTGTAACTCCTCGGCACTGTACACTTGGAGCACCAACTTGTAACGTTGTACAAGTGCTGGTGCCATAGCGCAAGAATTTAGTACGTGTGGTTCCAATTTCTTGTATATGCTGGACAAGGTAAGGAAGGTCAACAATAAATGAAGTCTAAAAACGCGTCATTCATGCAACGGACAGTCTAACGTATGAATGTGGTACACTGTGCCATATAACGAACGTACAAATTGATGCTGTAATGGCCACGAGCTTAGGATGAAGCTACTCTTGAAAGGGCTCTAAGCCGTGTTATGTGGTCGATAAAAAGCCATCTCGGTGTCGTTATACTTTGTGTCCTACTAATGATCATTACAGCACACCGGCTGTTTATTGCATACAGGCTAATAACAGACATGCGTGGTCTCTGTCGTTTTGACGTTGCCTACATCCAAGTAAAATTATAGCACACTAAACTAAGTGGTCAAGCATCCCAGAAATGGCTATCTCACGAAAAAAATGGCTACGATTACGCGTCAGGTTGAGCTCATGGGCTCATGGGCTTAACCTGACGCATAAGGGTGTAATGCCGGCTTAAAGACCGAAGCGGTTTCCAAGTATACTAAGCGCCAAAGCAGATGTCGCTCCTGATGACGGAGTTAGCATTAGCAATTTGCGCAGCGGCAGATACGATAAAGACACCCATCCTAGTGTAAAACAGCGCTGGTCATCATAATTGCGATGTACTAAATGGTCTTTATTTTCAATGATGCACATTTTAGTTTTTATTGGTAGTGGTTTTAATCAAAGACGCGTCGTCTTACCATAAGCGCTTTGACATATTGCTGGCATCGACTACTAAATAATTCAGCTCGCCATTTGTTGAAAGCTTAAGGTCGACTGCAAGTATAAGCCAGAGTGATTCGTTAAAGAAAGTGAAAAGTGGTACATATCCAGACCCCACCCTCCGTTCTCAATCAATTTACGTGTAGACGGGCACTTTTACGAAGTTGCCTGGTGCTACTAGCACACACCTTCAACACAAGCGAGGAAGCGGTTAGACCGTCTTACCTTTGCGTGCGAGGGTGGATATGCGGTTGGTCGACTGCTTAAGCAGTCGTACCACCAGTTGCCTCTCGCTTAAGCGAGAACGCAACGAACAATTAACAAGTGTCCTACTTACGTCACGCAGAAGCTTACTTGTGCGTAGTAGACAGTGTAGTAAATTCAAGACTGAGCTATATTTAATGAATTATAACTAAATATAAACTTAACTACTGATTGGCTATATATGTATATAGATCGGATACGCGACTCTTTAGAAGCGTATCCTGTCGCATGAACTTAAATCTAGATTTATACTTGCGACTGACGTCCTTCTGAGACGTCGCGATTCCTAGCTTCAACTGGCGTCATCCCTTCCCATGTGAATCCATCAATGGATATCACATTCACGAGGGCGGATCACATTCGTGTATCGCACCCAAGTGACAGGTCAAATTAGTTATAAATATTCAAACCTTACATTAAGTATATTACTAAATGTTTAATGCCCTGTTACATTACGCACTTAATGGCTGCTTTAATTGCTGAAACCTGTTGCCAGACGAGCAGCTGTCAAATGCTGCATTCACTAGCTGCTCTCTTATTCGCTTTTAGAAAAGGCTTCGGGGCTACATTAGGTTTGAAAGACCAAGCTGTGCACCTACTATATCTTCCATCCAGATAAACACCTCGGGCATCCGCTTATCAAACACGAACAACTTTTTGCAAAGATATCTATTGAAAAAGTGACTTTGTAACGGGTCAATGGCTACACAAGTCCGTTTAGTATATGATAATCAACGAGGAGGTCTCAAAGGGACCATGGTGCCTTACACCTCCCACATGAGGCACATCAATGTGACCCAATGTGATATCCACGAATGAATTTACATTCGACGGAGGTGACACCCAGTTGGGACGCGGCGTCATGATGACGTCACAAACGGACGTCATCAGCGAGCTTAAACGTAATTTAAACTCGCACGTAGGGATACGCATTTAAAAAGACGCGTATCTAATCTTTGCATAATTGACCTGTCAGTAGTAAGGCTCACATTAAATCATTATTTTACTATATATAAGTATTCTGGTCGAATTGAGGTAACGCCCACCCGGAAGGCTTAAGCTAGCTCGATCATAAGTCAGGCCTTGGTCGGATGCTTTCGCGGCATCCGTCAGTTTGGACAGTCCTCTCCCTTTACACACCTCTCTCTTGCCGCTATCACCCCTAGCCGCCAGAAAAGCCGCCGTGATGTGCGCCGCCACGCCCGAAGTTCTGAAATCCCGGCATCTCGGCTCAGGTAAGCTCGTGTAATCCTTTGACCCCGGTGGAAGCAAAAAGAGACCCTCTTAGGAGGGGACTCGTTGACAAGATAGACATCTAAGGGATTAAAGCAAAAAATCTACCGCTGGACACCGCCGTCGACTGGCCCTACATTTGCACCTCCTTCTCCTGTTTGAGCAGGATCGTGCAGACTGGAATTTTTTAGTGCGGACCTTATAGGGCGCACCGATTAATTAAGATTGGCAAGAGTAGAAAGAAAATTTAGAGAATGCGAGATAATCCGACGCATGCGGAAGTTGAGCCACTTTATGGGCAAGACGGCTCGAATAACGCGTTTACTTACACAAATAGAAGTCAGTCTTGAATATCCTATCTAACGCTTACTGCGCACGAATAGCTGGATTAGCTTCTGCGTGTCGTAAGTGAAGGACTTGTTAAAAGCTCGTTGAGCGGTTGGCTAAGGCGACCGTCAACGGTTGGTGCTGCTGCTCAAGCGCCGACCAACACCACCACCACCGCACGCGGAGGTTAAATGGTTGTACCGCTTCCTCGCGTGCTTAAAGAGGTGTGCCAATGTAGTACGTAGCAGCTTCTCTCGAAGCGCTCGATTGAAATAATGGATGCTGAAGAAAGCTCGAGCCCGGAGTATTTTGCAAGATGCGCGTTGTGAAGTGTCACGAGGAGATTTAACCAGCGGCCTGGACCCTGAGGTGACAATGTATGGTCAATGATCCTGACAATCGCGGCTCACGCATGTTTACTAAATGTATATAGGCGCGGTCTTTAATTTTCTTTTCAAGCATGACAATGAGGCTCAAGCAGCGAAGGTGATTCATAGAGAAAGCCGATGTTAAAGAACATCCACTAGCTTCATTTAAATAAAAAGCAATAACGCTTCTGTCATCACTTTCGCAATTTTTTCTAATTTGGTTATAGAGTGTCCATTTGGACGATTCTATTTCAATGCTTTTACATCTACTGGTAATGCTGGTGATGCTGCTGCACTTGCTTGTAACAAGGATGCATGTGCAAGTTGCGGGGGTGGTGCAAGGATGTTCATTATCTCTCTAATGGGTAGAGTGATCATTATTATCGACGGCCTCTTTCTACTACCAAAAGGGCAAAAAGTGTTTTGGCCAATTAGATTGGGACGAATCTGGAATGTGTGTTCCTTAACGAAAAGGTGTGGTTAGTTAGGGAATTGCTTATTTCACCACACTTTTTGCTTTTTCCACCCATCATAGCTTTGTCACATTTTTACTATTTCCAAAGATTTTGTTTGAATCACAAAACACAACACCACACCACATCATGGCCAAACTCAACACACATACCGTCGTCAATCCACCGAGAATACTAAGCGTATGCGCTGGAGAAGACATAAAGTACGTACGGAAACCGCAAGAGCAGCAGGATGCTCTCTTAGATGTTGAGTTAGAAGTCATCAACTTTACGTTGAAATAGGCAAAGATGATACAGATATCTATGATGCCTGGTTGGGCTTTAATGCATAGACCAATTTGTTTGGTTATACGTCAAGATGGTGAGCGGATGTGGTTAAGTTGCATTCACATCAATTAGCTTGTCGCTTTCACTACGCAGTTCCTAAAGCTCTTAAATAGTGTGCTATAACAAGCTCAAATAGTACATGTGTTGTGGCCCCACTTTCTTCAATCGCTTCGATTAGCATTTCCCTTCTTTGTAGCAAGGTTACACAGCTCTTTAGTCGGTGGAAGACTGTAAAGTCTGGAAGACCGTTATATCGATAGAACTAAAATAAATTTACAGCTTGAAGTCACTTAGTTCTAAGGAACTAATTAAACGACTACGATCACCCTGTTCTACAGAACAAGGGGGGACTTTTAGTCTGCGAGCAATAAGCTTTAGGGTTCTGATAACCAACGCACAGAGTGCAAGAACAAGCTAGGAGCTTGAAGGTTCGAGGAACCTACGCACGAAGCGCACAAGAGAAACAAGCCAATACCGGTTTATCTCTACGACTCAAAATGAGAACTGATTTTATTTATGCATAACGTTTTTATGAATAATTCTACTCTAATAACCCTACACAAGATCAACTACAATTATAATAAGTATAGTATGCCATCGTCTGTATCTGGATATGGAATCATCCAATCATCAGTGTATGTTGTACTTAGTACTACTGTATCAAATATGAATCTGATATCGATAGTATAAGGTATTACTGATACCTTATAAAGTCACTCATCTATAATACCCCTTTTAAAAGAATCAGTGTTAAGAATACATTATATGCCTTATAGCAACTTGAACCTAATGTACTTTCGGTATGATGTTATAACCGTCGTGTAACCCCATTACGCTCTTTCCCACCAGACTGACGTTACACATAATGTCAATCGACACATTGACTGCAAAAAGAGGTTTGCGTAGTGTACATCGAACGGTTGTTCAAAGTTCCACGCTTATGACCACGCCTCGCATCGAGTCCGAGACTCTTTATACCTTTTAGAGAAAAGTCTTGAAGACTTGGTGGACTACGAGGGCGACACAAACGTCATGGATCACAAAGAGGCTAGGCCTAGCTCTCCTGTTGTTGATGTTGACTCTCGTCATGAACCAAACCCATTTCCCGAACGTGGTGTCGCTGTCACTCAAACTTCAATGCGCTTAGCGCCTTGCGAAACTTCCACTTCCACGATCGCGAACTCGTGGCTTGCAAAGCAACAGTCGCGAACTGTCGCTTGCAAAGCAACAGTCACAGCAGATTCAAATGAAGGCAAGCTCTACACACCAAGCAAAGGCCATGGCCTAGCTCAAAAGGCATCTCGACAATGTCTTTAAGCAACGATTTGTCGGAGAGCGTCTCAAAGAGGTCACTGCATTCGCTCCATAGGACCGGATGCTGCTACGCCCGAGAAGCTCAACGCACAAGCGGCGCTTCACCAAAGGTATCTAGAGCTAGTCAAGACCACCCTAAGCCAATACAAGGCACGCCTGGATAGGCAAGCACATGGTGCAATTTGACACTCCCATGGAAGGAGTTCTTATCTTGCTGTTCGTAGGCGAAACTAAAGATGAAGACGATAGCGCCTTTGTAGACAAAAATATTATGCGTGGCGTCTGAGTATCATGTGGACTGTTCGCGCAAGTGCCAGCGACGATATCGGGGTAAGCGCCATAGCATTCACTTGGTACGGATACTGATATGGCTTGAGCATGCCAACGTAAAAGACGGGATGTATACGCAACTTGCGTGGCAGACTAAGCGTATACGCTAAGCCTTTCGTGGCCACGACCGTAAAGGTCTCGATGAAGAGTGGATGCAACTTTTCTTTAAAACAGCAGACACTACTTTAGTAGGTAGTTTATTAGCCGTTAATAATACTTGGTCTCCGACCTCATAATCATCAAGACAACTTCTGCCCTTAGCATCCGTATATTCCTTCTGTTCGTCTTGGCTATCAGCCCTTGCGTCTTGCACATGTCGTAAGACATTTAGTCGCGTTGAGAGAAACGCGTTCACCTGTTTCTTAACAGTATTAGGGCTGACATCAGCAAGCCGATCGGCAACCTCTCCCCCACCAAGCCCTGAACCACTCGGTGGTAGCGTTAAAGGAACGCGTGGGTGTGTGAGACCATTTACATAGAACGGAGTGTAGCCGGTAGAAGCGTGCACGGAGTTATTGAGTGCAAACTCGACTACAGGAATCATAGATCTCCATAGCTTAGGCGTTTCAGCACAAACGATGCGGAGGATATCTTCAACAACGCAATTTACACGTTCAGTTTGACCATCGGTCTGCGGATGATCCGCTGTGGACATGTCCAAACGTGTACCCAGCACCTGAAAGACGGACTTTCAAAATTTACTCGTAAAACGAGGATCACGATCAGAAACAATTGCCACTGGCAAGCCATGATGGCAAAGACACGATCGATAAAAAGCTGTGCTGTACCTTCACCATCGATCGAGTCTATCACAGCCGCTAAGTGAGCCATCTTGCTTAAACGGTCAACAAAGATCACAATACCCATGTTTTCCTACGAACATTTCGGTAGGCCAAATACAAAATCCATACTAATAGACTCCTAACACCCAGTGGGAACAGGCAAACTAGCCAGCGGCGCCGCCTAGTGGGGCGAGGGTTTCACCCGTTACCACGTTTCACACGTACGCACATATGTGCTCACCCATTAATACAGTTTGGCCACCAATAAAATTGGCATACTAAAGCATGGGTCTTTTCACGACCCAAATGACCACCGATGGCGGTGTCATGTATTTCTTAGAAGATATGATATTTGAGGTCCTCATCAAGAGAATCCACAATGCGCGGTGGATCCGCCGCATCCGTACAATTATATAACAGCCTTTGTTCAATGGAATATCGAGGAAGGATCGCACGTAATCATGCCGACAATTTGATGTCCAGTCTTTAAACTCACCACTGCCAAGAGCATGTAGCAAAATGATCGACGTTAGCGTACGCCGTACGAACGAGATCCGTGATCGAAGATGAAAGCGTCATTACATGATCAAGCTCATAGTCAGTCTCAATACTGGTTAGTTTCTTCCTTGATGCTGCCTTCGATGTTAACCGTAGCAACAAATCGTGGTATAGCTGGGCTATTTATGCACTTAGATAATTTGCTTACAAGAACAGCAGACGCATGGACAGAAACTCTCTGACTATCACGTGCCATTATGACGGATTTGTTAGCCTTTTCTTTCACGAGGTAAGATTGCGTTGCCTACACGCACCACTGGACGAAAGTTTCTTTTGCGTAATGTATATTTAATACATGATCTCGAATTGGAGTTTTCTTCGTGTACTGGTTGGTGAGGTCACCAACCAGTACACGGAGAGAATGACCTACTCACCCTTTCAGGATACCACCTGTATGTGCCAAAAAAAACCTTGTGCTTCTGTGTAAGAGTCAGAATGTCTTCATAATATGGAGTAGTAAATCTTGGTCCGACCTGATGTTTCACTTGGCGCTTCCAATTTTTTTTCCGTGCTGTTTAATGATCGACCATTCTTTTTGCCTCGGTGCGCTGACTTTCGGGTGTACTGACAGTAGCGTGCTGGTCAAGACCAAAGCGTGTTAGTCTCGTGTGCTAAATGAGCACCAGCTCATCTATACAACCATGGATCTAGAATTACTTTCGATTGTTGAGACACTTCGTAAAATATCAAACTATGCTCCTGGGATTTCTCGGGGTATTCTATACGGACCATACGAATCTCTTTTACCCCACGGAAACAAACATGCGGGTAAAACGCTAGAAATTGATTCATTTCGAGTATCAACTGACAATGCACTACATCAAAGGAGACAAAAACATGGGACCAGACTCGAAACTGCAAACTAAAACTACGTAGAACTAGTAAACATCAACTTAAATTACTTCATTATCGAAGATTGCGATGGCTGTATTGAAAGAGATCAGTGCGCTCTTCTTTCTCCGTACAGATAGCATGGAGATCTCCTTGAAGCGATGCACATTTCGTCCATTATCTGCCCGGCGGGGTGTAAAAAATCGGCAAAAGTGGAGCATTTCTGCGAAATGCCCAAAGTGCCGCAGCCCCCTGATCTGGGTACTTTGCAATAGTGCTATGGCTAGTTTTTCCGCCACACAAAGAAAAAGTAGTACCGCAGCGCGCGAACCTGGCGGGGAGCAATAGGCTCGAAGTTTACTGTAACGAGTAACCCTGTCGGATGCCCATAGGTACGGGGGTCGGATCAGATAATATCACATTCACTACAAATCGGGCGGTGGTGTTGTGGTGAGCCTTTATGAATTATTGTAACGAAGGAATTCGCAAATCCGAAATACCGCATAATCTCGAATAAAGAATCGCGCGAGACCGTGTCATATGCCTTGCGAGAAACACAGCAGTAACATTGCTTGACTATCAGCAGGCTCCCGATCCGGTTCGTGTGTTGCTGTTAAAAGTGCGCCATCATCATCATGACTGTTTTGAACATTTTTCTTCCATGTACAAAACCTTGTTGAGTGTTCTGAATAAGAACTCCTAAGACTTTTTGTACTTGATGAGATGACACCTTGACGACGCCTTTGTAGCCTGACTGGAGCAACGCTATCGGTCGAACATTCATTGCGTCTGCTGAATCACCCTTCTTCGCAGAGGGTTTTAATCTCTCCAAAAGGAGGGTCGTCCCTGCAGTTTGTCGTTACCTATTGCGACGAGTGCCGGTGTTAGTAGTGCTTGACAGTTCTTGAAATGATGTGTTACCGTCCGTCCCAGCGCTTTGTGTCGAGAGAGTGGCCCGGAGGACCTCCTTAAACAAGAAAAGTTCCATGAATAGCTCATTGTCGTCCTGGTTAAGAATACGATCGGTTGGCATGGCGACAAAGTCGTGTAAAGCTTGTTTGATAGCTGTGACCGGTATGGTTGCTGTGAGTTTGACAGAGAATTGGCCGCCATTCGTGGTTATATGCAACGCCACAATGGCCAACCGTGGTAATCGGTGCATATACTACGTAGTGTACATTTAGCAAGCTTGTTCGATTCCACGAGAACCTAATATCTCCCGTTACAACGACGCCGGTATCAACCAGAGAGTGCTGGGTTGTTATGAACCTGACGATCCTTTACTGCCGCAATGTATCAGTAATCCGCGCAGGAGCTAACAATCGCGGAACTGATGTGAAGCTGATGCGGTCATCTTGTGTTGACAAGTGTATTAGATAAGGGTCAAAAGACAGACTCAATGTCTGCGTCCTTTATGTGACGAAGCTGGGCTACCGCTACCACTGCAATCTGGCCATAGTAAGTGTAGCCTTATCAGTGTAGCAATACCCAGCTTCGTCATATTTATGAAGATGTCAGATCCTTTTCCAGACTCACTCTGAGTGCGCGATGTTTGATCTTGAAAGCGGAACTGACTGTTTGGTAAGCCAAAAACTCTGATTATTCTACTGTCTGAATGTTTCTACCATCGATACTTTTAATTAGGGATTGTCTTGTGCTAATAGCTACATTTTATAAGCGCTGCGTGAACTTGTGTCTTCCCCCCTTGTGCTTGCATCTCCTTTTCGGATAGCAATCTCCGCACAAATCATAGTCGAAGCAATCACTGTGAGCACATATACAAGTCATATTAATTAATTTGTTATATTCAGCAGCTCTGTCGGGTGAGTTTGCATGTTGAGCAGTCGCACTTTACACGACTTACTTGCAGCGGTAGTGAATAGTCTTGCTGCTCGAACCGGGATCCGCGTTCGTATCGATACGCTCCTCGCACCGATTACTGTAGAAACCAAGACAAACAAGGAGTGGTAAACAGGCCATGAAGTGATGAGAGCTAATATGAACGTACCACACGATATCGTCTTCAAGTTCTCCTTCTTCGTCATTGTCCTCCTCTTCGTATCCTTCCTCGACTTCGTCGTCATTAATATCGGCAGAAAGTTTGTTTTTACACTGGCACTCCCCAAAACAAAATACTCGCTTGCCAGAGGAATACTGATGCGAAATGACTTGCCTACTAAGACTCAAGAGCTTTTTCTTCTTCGCCTTTACATCAAGATGCCATCCAGCTTGGTTGCAAAGGTAGCGAATAATATCATCACAGTCTCCCAGTAGTGACAGATCAAACTCCTCTTCATCATCTATTGCGTCTCCGTCACCATGAATACGACTTATTCGACTCATTTCTCCAGTCGAGAGCTTTCTCGATTTCAGCTTTTTTTCTTCAGCGCGGTTTTGTTGATCACAACCTGAGGTATATGTGAGGGTAGATATCCTGGAATCTCCATGACAGGAGCAACCTTAAGCGATGTTCCCATGACAAGAAGAAGATCTGCTTGCAAGCGGTCTTTTGTTATAGTTGTGCTCACTTTATCATCCAGAATTTCACCAAAAAACGTAATTTCTGGCTTCAGCACACCGCGGCAATTTAACTCCAAGCATGATGGAATAACTCCCGCCTGAATAATGGGCATCAAAGTATCCGTCGGTACGCGCTTCTTGCACCGCATGCATGCCGAATACGCGAAACTGCCATGACAAGGAATACACTTTGTCACACCAGCTGCTTCCTCCAATCCATCGATATTTTGAGTGTATACACGCAACAACTTTTTTTATCCTGCAGCAGCTTTAAAAACCAATGCGTCGGTGACGGCTTAGGTGAGTTGGCAAAGGCACTGCGAACCACTTCAAAAAAAGGATCCGGGTCGTCGCGAAAGTAGTCAATTTGAAACAGACATTCCGGTTCCGGTAGCACCATATCCATTTTGCGTGCCATGGCGTAAATACCGTCTTTTGAACGGAAGTCGGGAATACCGCACGACACACTGATCCCAGCTCCAGCAATGACGACAATTTTTTTGGCTTTCTTTAGTACCTCGACAAAATCAGCAATGGAGTCCAACCTCTTGCGAGGTTGAGCACTCAAAGAGTCCACCTTGGCTTCCTGTAGACACTCGTAGCAACTTGTATTGCCTAAAATAGATGTCGACTGGAAGGGTCTGCCACAAGCTCCATGGTACCTGTAAAGAATATGTACACATTTTTTTAAAATTATCAAGGGCCCTAGAGCAGTAATAAGTTTATAGGCAACCTACAATCTTGAACAGCTATCACATTGCAACATAGTATTTTTATAGGTTCTAGAAGGTCGGTGGCAGATAAAGCACTCGATCGATTGTTTGCGTCGTTTTTTCTTTTGAGAGCCGTAGCTTTCATCTTCCAAGTCATCCTCTTCGGTCGAATACTCGGGAATTTGTTGACCCGAAGATAAAACGGCATAGTCCACGTCGGTTCGCTTAGCCTTTCGGGTGGGGCGTTCAGATAGTGCCATCATTTTATTCGTTTTTTACTAGGTACGACAAGTCTTTTGATGAAGGCGAATTTGAGAGTGACGTCGTTTTTATAGATACTTAGTTTTCAGAGCCGGAGATTTTCATTAAGTGCGATTGCGAATGAGGCTAGTGAGCTTTCCAAACCACTGGTTGGGATGGGGATGGAGACGAGAAAGAGTATTGCACGAATTGTAAATATGACGGAGCAAAAATTGGGTCTCCATGTTCGACGTTACCGACGATCATTGGAAACGCGATTTTTGGTATTGACGCTTGCTCGAATTTTGTAGTTTAATAATGTTAGTTCACGTATCTGTTCACGGGTCTAATTTTGCCCCTTGGACGATCAGTACGAACTGTAATCCGGTTCGATTGTTTCAGCTGATATAAATGAAGACAGCACTTTAGGTGTTTCAATCTCTATGCATGACATTCTATCCGTATAAATTGGTAGAAGGCTGAGATATGATACTTTCGGGCTATAATGATGTGGTACTGAATGTAGAATTTTATAGAATAGATACGGTTAAGAGGGTAAACAAGGAATCCATGAAGGAGCTATAGCATCCGTTGATTTTTCGATACTTCTGTAGCATCGCTGCTTTTCCATTCGAAGTTGTTTACTGTTGTTAAAAATTTGTATACGATTTGTACAATACAACACAAAGTTGGTCATGTAGTTGAAACTTTCGTATCTATAGCACATATATCTCGTAGGTGACCTAAGTAGCGTTCTTCCATTTACAGCGAGCAACAAGTAGAAGTCCAATTACATCGGAATATGCAAAAATTAAGTTCCAAGTTTTGGTTAATACGCATCGGAGGATATTACTATATTTTACGTATCGCGTGACAAGGGGTATCATTTTTTGAGCACACCTAAGCAAGCTTGCACTGGCTTCTTTTATCCGCTGTATCGTATCATACGAGTGTAAAGGCAAGTAGGTACCTAAGCGACCAGATAAAACTCATTGATTTATAACACTATCGTACCAAAATACTGCCAGTGGAAGCTGCTGAACGCTCATGTTCGAAGCAAGATTAACCACCGAATTATAGTGGAGACATGACAAGCAAAATAACATGCGTGAACATGCAAGGGTGGCAAATTTGCAACTGTGCAAAGGGTCGGATCAGATGCCTGAATCGTTGATATTTTTCATCATGTTTATAATGTCGGTATCAATAGTTGGGTCAGTTAAATGTTTAGATAAACGTGTTTGCAATATCTTCTTTCCAAACCAATGCAAACTTTCTTCTTGTATTTCGCAAGTCATGCACTGGCGAGACAAAATAAATCTATTGTGTGGCGTAGCATTGAAGTTGACGTTTGTACAACGATACCAAAGACACGCATCGTAAAAACTGGCTGAAACATTCTACAATTCGCACCTTTTTGTCAACAACATCTCATATTATATGTTTGGCTTTTTTACGCGACATGCAAGCGATCGGGCGAAAAACCGTAGTGTTTTTTTCGAGACAATTGCAGCTAGTTTGCCCTTAGTCCTTCTATAGAAAAGGTTAGTCAGAAACTTTTTTTACTAATAATAAATATGTGCTTAAGCTACTTATGCCTCCTATCAATTTGACCTACCGCAAATCTCCTAGACGCCTTAATCAAACTTTCAAACTGCCGCCATGAGCTATTATCGATAACTTATTAGGCAATTGGCCGCGCTGCTAGACATCTCGTATGTAGACGGGCACTTCTATGAAGTTGCCTCGTACTACGAGCACACACCTTATGCACAAGCGAGGGGGGTGGTTGGGAGGTTGGTCGACTGCTTAAGCAGTCGTACCACCAGTTGCCTCTCGCTTAAGCGAGAGTGCAACGAACTTCTTAACACTTAGAACACCGACGTCACGCAGAAGTCTTTCAACTTCTCGTGCGTGGTGTGTTTGTTTAAGTAAATTCAAGACTGAGCTATATTTAATTAATTATAACTAAATATATACTTAACTACTGATTGGTTATATATATATATATATAGATCGGATACGCGACTCTTTAGAAGCGTATCCTGTCGCATGATCTTAAATCTAGATTTATACTTGCGACTGACGTCCTTCTGAGACGTCGTGATGCCTAGCTTCAACTAACGTCATCCCTTCTCATGTGAATCCATCAATGGATATCACATTCACGAGGGTGGATCACATTTGTGTATCGCACCCAAGTGACTGGTCAAAAGTAATCATGGATACTTTTAGACCAAACATTAAGTATATTACTTAATGTTTACGTGTAACTAGGTACCCTGTTACACCATCCCCCGTTTTAGAACGATGTTTACATTTTATAAAACATCGCCTAAGAGACAGAGAGACTGGCGAGCCGTTTATAAACGCGCCGCTTTAGTCTGCTCAGTACTCATGCCACCGAAACGTGGTAAGGCTGATGGGTCGCCTGCAAAGGCACCCATGCAGTCCAGCACTAAGCGCACGCGCCGCGATTTATCGCAGCCGTCGCAAAGTGCGTCAGGCACTGGGGTGAATCTTCCATCTCACGATAATGTGGATGAAGATCCATCTCTCATTGTAGACTACAATGAGACCACACCACTGCCATCACCCCAAAGTGGCGATGAGCATAGTGCATTGATGGGACATATGTCCCCATCATTTGAGGCACCCGTCCTTGAGGAAGCATCTATGCTTCCTACAAGCGAAGGTAACGCCTCGTCGTCTGCGCCTACGAGCGCAGCGACTAAGACTGAGCACGCTACTTCGAAAGGAGTAGTCGCGACTCAGTCAGATGTAACTCCTCAACCTGATGTCTTGACAATCCATAATGGAGAGTCAGACTCAGCTGAGTGTGAGCTTAAAGCTCCACCAAGTACACCTTCGGCCTCACTAGCCCGCCGTCGCGAGGGCGGCTACGTGAGTGGTGGCTTGCAACCAATGCCACCTCCATCTGAGTGGATGAACTCGGATGGGTCTAGCGCAGCGCTTTTGCAGCGTGCCACTATAGACGCTCATAGATTCTATAGCGTCTTTCCTTTGTGGAAAAAGCAGGGCAAAGCACTTGGTCGTGCTTTCCCAATTCCAGTCGTGCTGCGTTCTAACGAAACAGCCGACGACTATAAGCTGAACTTCGGCGCCGTGTTACCTTGCAAGAAGATGCAACTAAACAGCGGTCGCAGCGAATCAGCTTCGCCATGAAGCGTGCACATGAAATTATGGGTGGTAAGCGACCCCCAATTAATTCTCGCCACGCTTCTTCTGCTAGTCCTTCCGGACCTAGCAGAAAGAAGACAGCTGGTGCTGCTTCACATAAGCAGTCACCAGCCCAGGCACGTCAACGCGCAAAGCGTCCACAGGCTCCCACGAGTCAAAGCTCGTTGGGTAACCCTTCCACTGGACAAGGATTTGGAGCTTTCGCTTCACAAACCGGTGGGCCAACAGCCTTCCAACAAGGAAGCGCGTGTTCCCATCCGTGTCCACCAACACAGGTGGCGCCCGATAGGAGTGGCGATTACGCCCACCTACTCGCGGCTGCCTACCCTGCTGCTGTTCAGTCGCAGGCTGAGTCCGCTGCGCTGAAGAGGCAGGTGACAGATCTCGAGAGTCAAGTCTCGCGACTGACCTCGGATCTGCGTGATGTGAGGGCGAGAGACCGTCAGGGGTATGACCGCCTGAAGACCCGTTTGGACATCTTAGAGCGACTGGTGATGAGAGACCCGCGTCAAGCGCGGAGTCCTCCTCGATCACCGAGTCCTCTATCGCCTCGTTCGTATACGGGGAGCCTCTCGGCTTCCTCGTCTCCTGATCGGCCGCGACGCTCGACTCACAGTCGACGTCAACATCGTTCTCGTCAGACTGATACGGATATGTGATCTCCTGTGGATCCACATACCGTTTCAGACGACCCACGTAAAATACGGGGTGCGTCTTCATATACGGTGGGAGAGTGAGACTATAATTTAGGTCTCCAGCTTCTTCAACCACTGTAAAGGGCCTAATGAATCGGGGCAATAGCTTAGTAGTACCTCCAGTTCGTACAGAAATTGCATGTTTAGGTAGGGTAGCAGTACTTCATAGCACTTTGTCCCCCACACTAAAGTGCTCATTGCTTTTGCGACCATGCTAGTCTGCATATTGTTTTTGCTTGTCCTGTGCGCTTGCCATCGCGTCACGGACTTTACGTGTGATGGCTAATCACTCATCCACGAAGCGCTGAGCTTCGCTCACGCTTTTAGCATCCAGCTCGCCTATGACGCCTACAAGAGGTCGTTCATGGGTCGACGCTGGTGACAACACTATAGTGTCATCATCAAGGAGCACTGGCATTTCTTGCCGTGCCTCCTTTGTGACACCTATAGGTGTCGTGACCACTTCTAAATTAGCAGTGTCACGAGGGAACCTTGGCCCTCTTTGGCATTTGCACCGAGCGAAGTGAGGGGCCCTCCCCCACTAAGACTCGGGCTGCGTACAAACGAGACTGGCGTTCGAGGATGACGCAGTTCGTTAATGTAAAATGGTCGCTTCACCCGTACTGGTGTGAACACTGTTATTAATGACAAACTCCACGAAAGAAATTGTTTGCTCTATTCCTTAGGAGTCGCTATTGTACGCAACACATCCGCCACAACTCGATTGGCTCGTTCTGTTTGGCCATCGGTCTGGGGATGATCAGCGGTTGACATGTGGAGCTTGCTACCCAGCAGCGCGAACACATGTTGCCAAAAACCCGACGTAAAACGCGGATCTCGGTCCGATACTATGGACTCGGGCATCCCGTGTAGTCGATACACGTGATCCAGGAACAAGAGGGCAGCCTCTTTTCCTGAGATCTTGGTGCTACATGGTGCCAAGTGCACCATCTTGATCAGTCTGTCTACAAAGACGACGAGCCCCGTCCTGACATTATGGTCAGGCGGTAAGCCAAATATGAAGTCCAAACTGACCGACTTCCAACATTCACGTTGGAATCGGCAGTGGCTTCAGTGGCGCACTGTTTGAAGGTGCAGGCTTTATGCGCTGACACTCTTCACAAGAG